GGGTATCATTATTATAATATGATTTATGTTTTTACACTCAACGGCTAAAATTGAAAAATAAATCTCGATTGTAGTGTGTGAGCTATAATAATAGTAAAAATAGAAATTGTTATTTGTCCGCGTTCCGTTCTCCGATCGGTGTTTGTCGTTTTTATTAAAAACTGTTGTGTAACATACCTATACTCGTACAGGTATTCGACTATTCGAGTATGATGCACTATAATAATAGTAACGCGTCCATTTTTTATTCGGTAATGTTATTACACGAAATAATATTATCTGAACTGCAATGGCTTATGATTATACAGATTAGCCGGCATTCGCGAGTACGCCATATATAGGTACGCGCATATTATACCTCCACAAATTAAATGAAATTCGCTACATATAATGCGTTATATATATATACGGCAAAGAGTAGTTATTTGATATTTCTCTCTCCGCGGTCGGTAGGTACTCAATATAATATTATTTTGTTCCTGTCGTTATTAATATATGCTAAATAAACAACTTTTGAACAAATATCAATTTTAATAATGAATTTCGTATAATTGCTGTGTTCGATAAATTGCCATATATTAATAACCCTGGCTGGTGGTATGCATTTTCAAATATATAGATTTATATATATATGACATAGCTAAATGGATGAAGTGCTATTGCGCGTATACTGTTAATGTAAAACATTTTGCGTGATTGCAATTTACTGTTATTTTTTTTATGATAGACTGCTAGAGCGTTGTGAAACTATAGTATTCACTTGACGATTAAATAATCTATAGACAGAAATTCGAATGCTGGAACAGTATAAACTTCGGTTGTAACCATGTAGGACGAAAAAAAATTTAAAAACATAATTGTTGTATTATACTTGAATATATTGTTATATTATACCTACTTGACTATATTTTTCCATCATTAATGACTGAAATGCAACTTTTGTTTTACATATAATTATACTATTCACTATAAACTTGAAGTTGAAACTACATTAAAAAGCAAAAAAAAAAAAAATTATTAAATTTAAAGTCATATTATATGTAGCCAATCTAGCACACTGCTATAATTGTATTTTTCACACGTACCTAGTAACAATCAAGAGTCAGGATTTTATTAATTTATAATAAAATAAAATACAAATTAATTGGGTTATATACTTTCAAAGCAATACCTACTCGTTTTAATTAAGTATAAATCGTACGTGTACTGAACTGAAAGAATAATCAGAAATGTATATTTTTTCCTTTTTTGGAATTAAAGTGTATCTCTTTCACTTCCAGAGCACTCAACTTTGCCGAATTGCAATTGCTACAAGTACTAAGTAGAGATGAACAACTTAAAGTTCGGTTCATTTTCGAAAGTACCCTCTAAAAGTATTCATTCCTAAGAATGGTATTCATTTTTTTTTTTATGAAAAGACCTTTCAAATGTTATTTTGAAACAAATAAAAAAAGATTAAGGCGAAGATAAAAAATGGTTTGGTACTATGTTTTGCACGTTTTTAACGAGTTTTACTCAGTACTGTTATTTGCGAAAATTGCATTTTAAACTTTCAGTAATTATTTTATATTATTATTTAGCAAGGGCTTAGAGTTAAAAGTAATATTTTTCACACAATCTGTAAAAGGAAGTTTAAAACATCATTAAACCTCCCGGATCCTTGTTCGACCGGATATCTGGGACAAACCCCAAATTGTTGGGAGGACAAACATTTTATCTCTTTGTGTATTTGTATTTTTTTTTTATAGACATTAACACCAAAAATGTTATCGCTAACCAAAGAAAACTGCAGTGGTTTATATAAGTAAAATGGTGGTGTTTTATTTCGTAAAATGACAGAATTATTTTGTCACATTTATGAGATTACTTCAAAAAATTAGGTCAATTTTTTAACGTGATTTATGTTTGAGGAATATTTTTTTCATAGATACTATTATGTCCGTGACCGATCCTGTATATTATCTAATACTCTAATATTTTATATTTATAAACATTATTTAATAGCGTTATAAATGTATATTACATTACCTACGTAAAACAACTGTTAGGTATAAATTATGAACATTATGAACAGTCAAATAAAAATAATTCAATTTAATTAAAGTTACTAAAGGTTAAACACCCCCGTTCTAATACCCTCGTTCGTTTTTAATTAACAATATTTATATGTGTTATTTATTACTTATGTTCATAAACTTATGGCAATTGCATATTATTATTACGGAAGTTTAAACATTTTAAACGGTACGTTTTTCTTACAAAATTATACCACTTGATAGCCTAACTACATATATTACACGCATCGTAAAGTATATTGCAATAAGGTCTGTTCGTTTCTTATTATGGTTATAAATACTTTAGACTTTAGTAAATAAAACCCGTCTTACCAAGCACATCAATTCCAATTTACTAAACGTATAATATTTTTTTTATGGTCCTTTCGCCCGGAACTTTCTGCAGTTCGTTCAGTTTCAATACCATTTAGAATATTTTTTACATCACCAAAACTGTTAAAAACACTATTCTTTCGCATTTTACTTTTAGAACAGTTTATCTTGTGCGTTTAAATTGTAATTAAAAATATGTATTTACATAGCGTGGTGAAGGTATATATGCAAGCCACCACAAATTATTTTACCATCGCTCGAACGACGTCATACACTGCCAGTAGTTTTTGAGTAAAACATATTAAAAATTTACGAAAACTAACATCACCGTGTATAATTATTATAGTATTATACATTTATACAATGTATGAATATATGGTATTGTATAATACATGAATGCATGAATACATAGTTTGAGCCTAAAGAATTAAATTTGAATATACCTATCATTACAATCGAAAAAAAATGTTATTTTATTTCTAAACCTGTGTGATCGTATATGATAACTTATTTACATATAATCAGTGTATTCATGTATAATGCCATAATGGTAATCGTCGTCTTGTATAATATGATACCTACAGAAATCTGTTGACTGTTGTAGGTATGTTAAGTATATGCTACCTATGCCGATAAATTTTATGGTAATTTAAGTATAACATACTTTTTTATTGCTGATAAATGATAATATATATTCATCTTTGTCAAATTGTATTAGTATATATTATATTGTTTTTATGTTGTTCCAAAAAAGTTCTAACATATTATTTTCTATTAATGCATTCTGCTCGTCATCGCCACCATTATTTTTGCAGTTGGAAATCTAACATAATTCTTGCATACTTAACCATTTGTTAGATTAAATTGTTATTTAGTACCTATCCCACGTTTATCGCTTGTTTATTTATTTATTTGTGTTCATGTAATAAAAAATCAAATAATTGTAATGGCACCATCGATTCATGCCAATATAGCATCGATTCCGCCAGAATACTTACATATTATACATATACCAAACCGTCTACGAAATACTATAATAGGTATACCTACTACAATATCTATACGACCATACAGTGCTTTGAGCCTAACGAAATTTTATGGTCGTATTCTGATGATATTTTTCGGGTATGCATACCGACCGTTTCCAAGGAGTTCAATATAGGCAATTTTCTATTTGTTTGCATGCGGTTCGTGTAAATGTGTGAGTAGTAAGTGATCATTAGTGTGAGTGACTATGTATAAAATAAATAGCAGAGCGCTACCGCACGTGCACGCACATGTCAGTAACGCAGCATTTTACACACTAATTACAAATGTGAATTTTAATGAAACACTGAAACTTAGTTTCATATTTCAAATAATATATAGCTTACTGAGTGACATAAAAGTATGAACACCTATGTTATACAAATTGAAGAGAAGAAGTCTATCTAGGTTTGTATTATAGATTTTCGATATTTTATTTTAAATGTCCAATATTTAACTCTAAAACTTGTGATATTTTACTTTTTGATTTTGAATTATTGAGTTCAGTAATAATTAAAATATCGAAAATTGACTTGTATACAGACATAGAATAACTTCTCTTCTACAATATTGATAATAGGTGTATTTACTCTCAAACCGCTCAATAGACCATATTATTGGAAATACAAAAGTTCATTTTTATAGAATTTTTCATTACTATTCTTACCATTTAATAGCAGATTATTAATTGAATACCTTGTAAGAACAAGGCAGTATTATAGACCTTTAACTCGTTAGAATTATAATTTACGGTAGGTATAAAGTAATCATTTTCTGGTAGCATACTCCATGCAGCAGTAAAGACGTTGCGGTAGGTAGCATACAAATTTAATATTAACATTACATCCGTAGTACCTACATGTTATTAAAAACAAATAAATACCTATCATTCCTTTTTAATATAGTATGATGTGTTCAACAAATAACAATTAATATTCATTAATGATAAATAGGTATACTATCCTATTCCAAGAAAAATGTTTAAACCATTATCAATACACAAAATTTAAATTTTGTTAATAATTAATGATAATTCTACCATAGAACTCCATTAAAAGCAATTCAGCTCGTCAAACTTAATTTTTCTACGGTTGTATTACATTGCGTATATTATTTCAAAAGTATTTTGTACGACAGAATTCACTAAAGAATTATTATAGAATATACGTTGTTTGTTTAGTTATTATTTGTAAAATGTATCTGTTAGTTTATTAATAAGTGTATGACATATGTTATAATGTTAAGTCGAATTTATAGAAACCGTAATTTAAGGTACACATATTATTTTCTGTACAAGTATTAGGTACTATATGTGTATATTTATAGTTGCTTTTATTATTTATCATGCTTTTTTTGGTTTAAGGTTTTTCGTAGACTTGAGCTTTCTCTACACTCTACCCATATTGTAACTCCGTTTATAATACCTGTTGTATATTAACTATAATATAATATTACACGGTTTATACCATATATTATAATTGTCATAAACTATATATCAAATTTAAATATATATGTTTTATAATTTGACAATATCGAAGAGTTGTATTTTAGAAATCATAATAACGAAATTTATTTCTATAATTTTAGAAGTGCGACAAGAAGCTGTACAACAAGCTCTGGCGGCTATGCAGTCCAGGCCTAAACCGTCGTTACCGATGCCCAGCAAACGAACCTCGGTTATGGCGAAAAGTCCTGATCGGTCAGCCACCACTCGTAACGAAACCGGTGAGCAAATATACCTTCTATTATATTATTATTACATTTATTATTTTAGTTGATATATTAGTAGACGTGGGGAGGGGATACCGTGTCTGACGTTTCTTTTTGAACCCAACCCAGCAGCCTAACCGAAGTTTCTTTTTTTAATGTAAATCGTTAACGCGATATCGCGTGTTTTCAGACTCCAGCTCGGATGACGATAGCGTTGGTGACCATATACCTGACCGAGGAGAAGTCAAAGACCGCGGTAGCGGTGGACGCGAACGCAGCAGCGGAGCGGATACCAGCAGTACCGGTGGGTCTGCTAGAGACACACCGCCACATCCAAAGACTGTTGCTGCTGCTGCTACCACTGTCGCTGCCACTACAATTACTCCTTCTGCTGCTCACGGACCACAACATCAGCCCCCGCTGTCGATGCAGCAACACAGACACCATCACCATCACCATCACACCAAGTGAGCGCGAAAACCTTCAATTTTATTTTTCGGCTGTCGAGTGGTGAACCACCGTGGTTTCCTAAACATTCCATGCGCACTGTTATTAATAATTGTTCGTCGACTAAATTGTTTTGGGTTTACAGGATTCCTAATGGTGCGCCCGGAGGCGGGATGTCCGGCAACAACGGTCCCGGTTATTGGGACGAGTCCAGGACGATCATCGAGACTCCCAAGGAGCAGGATAAAATCAAACGCAATAAGCCCGAGGTGACTGAAGTGGCTGACATGTTGCACAACGTCCGACCTCCATGTGAGCAAACGATCCGATAAAATATGCTTTTCGAATATAATTTAAATAATCGCGCTTATATTATGCTACTTTTTGATAATATTATATTTGTCATTTGCGTGCTCTGCTGTAATATTCGTGTATATCTTTCAGACCCTCAACCTCCAGACGTGACGAATAACGTGACGCAGTCGAGGAGATACACACCTGCGGACCGAGTAAACCGGTACAGCCGAGATTCCAGACAGTCGTCCAGCGACGATGGAATGGGCACGGTATCCAGCAGCGGCCGTTGGAAAGTGTCGGCCAAGATTCAACAGTTGTTGAACACACTCAAGCGACCCAAACGGCGGCCCCTGCCTGAGTTCTACGAAGACGACGACGTTGAACTCGAGATCGCGGCCAACCCTAAGGATCCCAACGCACCGCGACCAGAAGGTGCCTACATGTCTCCGGCCTTGGGTGAACCGCTATCCGTGAGTACCTGGTAAAAAAAAAACATTTTGATATACCAAAAACTAAACGACAATGTTGACCATAGGTGCCATCAGGACTTCCTCGTAATTTGGAAGCCGCTCTGCAACGTTATGGTTCGAGTACTTTTAAAGCTCCCGTAGCTACCGTATTGGACACTAATGGAAAATTAAGCATCACACTTACTTACGGTAATATTTTCTTTTTATTTCAACTGTTGTATAATATACACTGTTTTGTGTGTACACATTTATTTATACACAACTATTGGCTATTCAATGCTTATTTTTTTTTCTTTGGTATTTTAGGTAAACTTCTTAGCAGATCTCACAAAGTGGCCTACACTCTCCTCAACCGTCCACTAGTCAAGGGTAATGGTGGCGGAGAGTGCTTGAAACACGGTGACCGTGTAGCTCTAGTCTATCCGAACAGCGACCCGCTAAACTTTCTGTGCTCTTTTTACGGTTGCATATTTGCTGGAATCGTACCTGTGCCAATTGAAGTGCCATTAACTCGTAGGGATGCAGGGTCACAACAAATAGGATTTCTATTAGGTAGCTGTGGTGTTCAAGTGGCCCTGACATCTGACGTGTGTCTAAAAGGTCTTCCAAAAACTGCTACTGGCGATGTGGTGGCGTTCAAAGGCTGGCCCAAGTTGCATTGGTTTGTCACCGAACACCTACCAAAAACTCCTAAAGACTGGTGCCCACCACCTCATATTGGTGAAGACACTCCATCTTATATAGAATACACCACTGATAAAGAAGGTTCTGTGATGGGTGTAAGTGTAAGTCGCACTGCCATGTTAAACCAGTGTCGTGCTTTAAGTCAATCCTGTAACTATACTGAAGGTGACACCATGGTATGCGTTCTTGATTTTAAACGTGAAACTGGCCTATGGCATTCTGTTTTAACATCTATCTTAAATGGCATGCACGTGATCTACATTCCGTACGCTTTGATGAAAGTCAACCCAGCTTCTTGGATGCAAATGATTACAAAATATAGAGGTAAATTTGTTTTCATTATTATTATTACTTTAAGCTTATACATTTTGTACTATATAAACCTTGTAAATATTACAGCAAGCGTAGCAGTAGTTAAGTCTAGAGACTTGCATTGGGGTCTTTTGGCGACCAAAGATCATAAAGATATTGTACTTAGTTCATTGAGATTACTGTTGGTCGGTGATGGAGCTAACCCGTGGTCTCTATCATCTTGTGATCAATTTTTGGCTGTTTTTCAATCAAAAGGCTTGCGGCCAGATGCTCTGTGCCCATGTGCTTCATCAAGTGAATGTCTTACAGTTTCTGTTCGGAGGTAAATTTCATGATTTTAATGTATTAAATTATTTAAAATAACCATATTTATAATTTTTAGGCCCGGCAGAGCTGGAGTAAATGCAACTGGGCGCGGTGTCTTGTCAATGTCTGGCTTAAGTTATGGTGTTGTTCGTGTGGACCAAGAAAATTCACTTACTTCATTAACTCTTCAAGACTGTGGTCAAGTTATGCCCAATTGTTCAATGGTAGTTGTTAAAATGGATGGTATACCTTATATGTGTAAAACTGACGAAGTTGGAGAAATTTGTATGGGTGGACTCAGTACGACTACATGTAATTACTGGGGACTTCCAGGCTTATCAAATGCAACATTTAGAGTTGCACCCATTGGAGAAGATGGAAAACCAACAAACGACACAATTGAATATACGAGATCAGGTCTTCTTGGATTCCTCGGACCTGGTGGGCTAGTATTCGTGTGTGGATCTCGAGATGGTCTCATGACAGTTACTGGACGTAAACATAACGCTGACGACATTATTGCAACAGTTTTGGCTGTGGAACCAATGAAATTTATATATAGAGGAAGAATCGCTGTATTTGCAATACGCGTATTGCGTGACGAGCGTATATGTGTTATTGCTGAACAGCGACCGGAATGCAGTGAAGAAGAAAGTTTCCAATGGATGTCCAGAGTACTTCAAGCGGTCGATTCCATTCATCAAGTTGGGCTGTACTGCTTAGCACTAGTACCACCGAATTACCTTCCCAAGACACCATTAGGAGGAATTCATTTGTCTGAATGCAAAAGAAGATTTTTAGATGGAAACTTACATCCGGCTAATGTACTTATGTGTCCTCACACATGTGTTACAAACTTACCAAAACCACGAGAAGCGCATTCAGGTATCTATTATTTAATTATATATCTGTGTTTGGGGATCGGGGTAGAAATTAAAAAAAAGTTTTCATATAATTTTGCCTAGTTGGCGGGACTGTTTCAGACGTGGGACCTGCTTCAGTAATGGTTGGAACAATTGTGCAAGGTAATCGTTTGGCTACAGCACAAGGGCGTGATATTGGCATCATTGATATGGAATCAGATTCTAACAAAACTGTAAGAAAATATGCTCACACATTAATATTTAATAAAATGTAAATAATCTATCAGTAAAATCTAAAACAATTATGGTTTTATTTTTTCCAGTATCTTTTCATATCGGAAATACTAAAAATGAGGGCGATTAGAGATCCTGATCATGTAATATTTACTTTGGTGAATGCAAAAGGTGGTGCAGCTGCCACATTGACTTGTTCACAGTTACATAAACGAGCAGAGAAAGTTTCCAACTTATTGAATGAACGAGCCAAAGTGAATACTGGTGATCATGTTGCGCTTATTTTCCCTCCAGGAATTGATCTCATTTGTGCATTTTATGGTTGCTTATATGTCGGTAAGCTTATGCACAAAAAAACATTAGCTACAATATAAATACTTTTATTAGATTAGTATTAAAAATATTTTTATGCTCTAGGTGCTGTTCCTGTAACAATACGACCTCCTCATCCACAAAATCTTCAGACTACTCTGCCAACAGTGCGTATGATTGTAGATGTTAGCAAGTCTACATTAGTCTTATCCAATCAAAATATCATAAAACTTCTCAAGTCAAAAGAAGCTAGCAATGTAGTGGATGTAAAATCGTGGCCAGTTATCTTGGACACTGATGATATGCCAAAGAAAAAAATTGTACCATCTTACCGAGCACCTACTGCTGAACTTCTCGCTTATTTAGACTTCAGGTATAATATTATAATAGTTTTAAAATAATGACGACATTGCGTTTCTATTATTTTTTTATATTTTGCAGCGTTTCTACAACTGGGATGTTAGCTGGAATTAAAATGTCTCATGCCGCTGTCACATCATTGTGTAGATCCATGAAATTAGCGTGTGAACTTTATCCATCAAGACATATTGCGTTGTGCTTAGATCCTTACTGTGGTTTAGGATTTGCCTTGTGGTGCTTAAGCAGGTGTGTATTAATTATTTACTAGTAAAGTGTATTCAATATATCCTAATGTCACTATTTTTAATTAATTTCAGTGTATATTCTGGTCATCATTCAATTCTCATACCTCCATCTGAAATTGAAATAAACCCTGGCTTATGGCTCACAGCTGTTAGCCAATATCAAGTTCGAGACACATTTTGTTCTTACGGTAATTTATATTTTATTTATCAAAATAGATTGGGCCGTATAACAATTTACAATTATAATATTAATATTATAATTAATTATATATTTTATTTAATATAGGTGTCATGGAACTGTGCACTAAGGGTTTGGCTTCATCTGTTGGACTTTTGAAACAACGTGGTGTAAATTTAGCATGTGTACGGACATGTGTTGTGGTCGCCGAAGAAAGACCTCGAATAAACCTAACAACATCATTCTCAAAGTTATTCTCTGCTCTTGGACTTAGTCCCCGAGCTGTGTCTACTAGTTTTGGATGTCGGGTGAATGTAGCTATATGTTTGCAAGGAGCATCCAGTCCAGAGCCATCATGTGTATATGTTGACCTACGAGCCTTAAGAAATGATCGAGTTTCCCTGGTGGAACGCGGTAGCCCGCATTCATTGTGCTTGCTCGAATCAGGGAAATTGTTACCTGGTGTTAAAGTCATTATTGCCCATCCAGACACAAAGGGTCATTGTGGTGATTCACATCTGGGTGAAATTTGGGTACAAGCACCACATAACGCCAGTGGATATTTTAGCGTATTTGGAAATGAAATAGCAGATGGTGGTAATGGATCAGAACAGTTCAATGCACGACTAGTCACTGGTAGCACTGGTGAAATTTATGCTAGAACTGGTTATCTTGGATTTTTAAGACGTACCGAATCAACATCAACACCATCAAGTGTCGCATTACATTCAACAGACACTATTGACATAATGTCTCTTAGTGATTTGTCGCTTGCCTCGTCTAACCAATCCACACTAAGTAGTAATACTACTGCTACTGCTGAATTACCAGGTATGCAACATTATTGTTTAAGATTAAAACTTATGGTTTTTTTTTTATATATATATAGGTACAATAGTGTAAAATAAAAAAAATATATTTCAATTCCTCAAACTTTTTTAAATGATGTTTGATTAATTTTGTTTTTATACATCACCAGATTATTTATTAATCAGTTTTAAAGTTCCTGGAATAGTGTACTCGAAACTTAAATCAAAGAAAGTAAAATGAAATGCATTTTATATTTTATTAATTAAAACAGTAAATAAATTAAACAAACAAAACAAAAAATCATCCAATTACCAATATTATTTAATTAGCTTAAAACTATATAAAAAAAAACTATTTTAAATACTTGGACTCTAATTGAATCTTCAGAAAGAGATGAATACTTAAATAAATTTGATTAAATATTATCATACTAAAGAATGTATGTATGTAAGAAAGAGTGAATTTTTTCACCAAAAAAAACTGGGTAATTTTTTTATTGAATCATTGAAGTAACATTTTTAGGAATTTCCCATAACCTATTCACTTGGATCACATAAAATGTTTTTAAATATTGTGTCATATTTTATTTATTTAGAGCTTCATGATGCTGTTTTTGTGGTTGGTGCTCTGGATGAAACAATTATTCTACGAGGCATGCGTTACCATCCGATTGATATTGAAAACAGTGTAATGCGATGTCATCGAAAGATTGCAGAATGGTATATTTTACGATTTACCATAATTATTCTTATTGTTTGAGTGTTTGATATTAATCCAACTATATTATGATTTTAGTGCTGTGTTTGCTTGGACCAATCTCTTAGTAGTAGTGGTTGAACTGGATGGCAATGAGAGCGAAGCACTTGACTTGGTACCACTAGTGACCAATGTGGTACTCGAAGAACATCATTTAATTGTTGGCGTTGCTGTGGTAGTTGATCCAGGGGTGGTGCCAATAAATTCCCGCGGCGAAAAACAACGCATGCATTTACGTGATGGCTTCTTAGCTGACCAACTTGACCCTATTTATGTAGCATATAACATGTGATCGCCTCTAAATCAAGGGGTATAGTTTTGTTTTAGATAAATTTATAGTTGTGATATACAAAATTATTATTATTATTATTATTATTATTATTATTATAACAATACACGTTAAATAGAAATCTTAATTATAATCGAATTTAAAAAGAGAACAAAATTCCAAAACAGTAGACTATATTATTATTATTGAACTCTGATTTCGATGTATAATAATTGTATGATAGATGATTTTATTTTTGTTATTTTAAGTTGCCATATTGTGCGTCTGATGGTTGTGATAAAATTTCGGGCCACCATTTCACCTTTTCATTCTCTTTTTTTCTTCAATGATATAACTGTATGTATGACCTAGTCATATGTTAAAAACTTAAAATTTAAATTAAAAAAAAAAAAAAAAGACATAATTATAACCATTTAACATTGCGTAGCTTTTTATTCTTTATTATACATAATAAACATTTATATATTATATAAATATATAAATATTGTGCAATCTTAATTGATAATATTATTTGTGACTAGTGTTTGTGTGTGTGTGTATGTAACACACGCATGTACCATACACGTCAACCTCACCATGTCTTAATGTTTTGTACATATTATAATAAATTTAGTATATATTTATATACATATTTATGCATTTATGCATAAGTAACTATTGTGAATCAACAGTGAATCTTGCACTGTGTATGAACGTGCGTTTTGTTTTATTTATAATGTTAGACTCGTCTTTTCTGTACACAGTAAATAATAGATGCCAAAATGTGTATTAGTGCTCATAATTTTGATTACCTTTAATATATAATATATAATTGAAACTTTGGTTGTACCTTGTGTGAGTGCATATATATGTGTGTGAGTGTTGTGTGCGTGTTTTTTTTATGTATAAATAAAAAAAAAAATAATATAACACGTGTTGATTTTTATTTTCCTCTAGTTTGTATTCTATTTAATTGTTTACCATAATGTATCATGATTATCATTGGGTACCTGCATTTAAACATTTTTCAATAATCTATTAACTGAAGAATTTTCAGCTGGTAATTGAAAGAATACAGTATTTTTTTAAATTATTGGGTAAATTTTTTTTGGGTAAGCATGACTGTTGAATGTATTGATCAGTGAAGAGTGATAACAAATATTTCATCAATAACTGGCCAATCTTTAATAAAAACGTTTATTGTTTATTAATGTAAAATTGAAATCAGGAGTTAAAATGGGGTGGGGACGCAAGAGGACTCAGTCCCCATACATCAGACGGCGGTTAAGAAAGTGTCCTCTTCAATCCTTTAAATATTCAGCGTCAGTAGCGTAATTAGGCGGGATTAGGGGGATAGATTATTTTTACTGCTAACATTTTGATCAAAGTATCGACAATGACCATTCATGTTTGCTAAAAACGTATATCCCCCCCTCCAAAACCAAATTCCTAATCACGCCACGGTTCAGCGTTAAAAGTGGGATGAATATGGTTGTACAATCACCGTTTATATATTACATTTACATTATTAGACATTATACATACAATTATTTATGGAACGCTTAAAACTATATGGCGACATATTTAGTCCCTTCCAGAATTTTTTCATGCTTTAAACGCTGATTGAAATGTACCATAAAATACAAATGAAATTAACTATGCGTAAAGTTAAATTGTTAGTAGTGATATCATATAGGCGTTCGCAGACATAGTTGGTGTTTTCAATCATTATCTATCTAGTTTAGATATCCTTTAAGGTTTCTGTTCCTGGACTGTCTCTCTTCTCATGCTGATTCATGTATAAAAAAAAATGTCAGCAAATGTTCTTATTGTCCAATATATGTTACAGGTTGTAAATAGGTATACTTTTAATAATATTAAAAAGGTATCAAAAATGTCCAATTTTTGGACAACCAGCTTACAACATTAGTTAAAATTAATGTAATTGTCTAATTTTGGATTAAACTTCAAATACTTAGAACTCATTAACTATTCGTCAAAAATGAAATTATTTTATAACAATATTAAAATTTAAAAGGATAACAAATATAATTTTTTTCAAAATTTTTTGGTATATCAGTGATCTCTGATATAAGAATCACCCGTTAATCGTTATACAAATATTCTGTGGTACCTTGAGTAGGGGGGAATGGCAATCTCTTTTACTATTGCAACATAATTTTATAGTTAATTAATAATATTGTTTGCTTCTTGGTAATTCATTTTTTGCCTTAACATTATTTCTGCCCTTGGGTTGCATCAGAAGCTCTCCCTCTGTAATAATATTTAATATTTTTTTGCATGCTGGTGCCCCGTTACTCCAATTTTTTTTTCATAACCTTCAGAGTTTATAGGTACTCATGTTATTTTATTTTTATATTTTTACGTCTGAAAAATTCATTCAAACAACTTTTTTAGTTATTCATATGGGTAAACCGAAAAATATTCGTCCATTACTCATTTAAACTTTAAAAAGATAAAATAATAAACTACTTGTCCGAAATTGTTGTACATTGAAGTACTCTGAATAATATTGTAGATCGGAATATAAAAATAAAAATCTATTCTGCATTCAAACCAATGAAAAAAATTAAAAAACAGTAAAATTATACTTCTTAACCAAAATTAATGTTGTCTTGTAATAACTTAAAATTATGTGAAAGAAATTATTTTAAAGAATTGTCTTTAGTGTCTTACATTAAATGGATTACTGAACCGTTGGTTGCAAATGTACCTACATACAAATATATGTAACAATGTATTGACATTTGGATACCCATTATATTATAGGTATTCTATTAAATTATTTTTGTACAATTTTTCACACAGTTCTTGAATATTTTTTTATCTTGAGATAAAAGAAAAAAGTTAGCTTAAAGATAATCACGAAAATGAAGTGTTTCGTTTGTAAATGATTCTTTTGTGTACTTAGGATAATGCTTTTTTAGGGTGACATGCGAAAATATTCCGAAACCAAAATATCCCCTCAAAAATATTCCATGATAAAATATCCAACGTAAATAATAATTCAAAATTGAACCTTCATTATAAGAGTTGTATAAATATTAATACAATACATATCACATTTATTATTTCCATTTATAGAACATAAAAAAAAGAGGATTACGTGGATGTTGCTCTGCTGTACAGTAGGTTACAAGTGGGTCTATGTAAATGGTTGTATTAAACTTGAATTCAATGATTAATCATATATATATCATTGTATAAGAAAAACGATTCTGAGCGAAAACGGTCAGTCAGCCTATGATATTACTAAGTATATTTGACATTTGTTGATATTATTGTGAATAAAGTAATTTATTAATTTATATATATAACCTATTTACATGGAACCTTGTTTTAAATTTTCAATCCTTAGCTATAATTGTTGAACATTGTATAAAAAGGCCAAATTTTGGCTCTTGGTGTAACACTAAAAAAAATGATCGTAAATACATGCATTTTTCCCTGAATGTTTATATTAGCCTTTTCTATACATGAATAAATTTTCATAAATTCGTCCAACTTTATCAAAAAAAAAAAAAAAATGTCTGCAAGCAAATCAAATTAAATTTTTATGAGCTTTTGAAATTCATATTTTTACAAGATTGGATATTCACTCGATTTATCATGCAGCGATTGTTTTAGTTTGTTGTAATTCAAAAACGAATAACTGTAGCTACATGAAAATTTCACTGAATGTTTATATTCTCATTTTATATACACCATCAAACTTTGAAAATATTTTGACTATTTTTAAGCTGTTTACGGGCATTGTCAGTTTTCAATTTGTTTGGTTTTTTTTTCTACCATGAATATTCCTAGATTTGCTGTAGGTTGATAAGGTACCTATTCGTTCATACATTCGTTTATAACATTACGTTTAATAAATTTAATAATCAGGCAGATAAACGAAAATAATAAAAATCCAATAATCATTATTGACCGTATTGACCGTATTCTATGCTTATACATTTCTTATTAATTAAATTTACCCGTGTTTTATTACTACAGCATAATAAACATATGATGGAATAATTTAAAAAAGCAAAAAAGCATTTTCACAAAAAAAAAGCAAAAATAAATTGGTTTATTTGGAATCAGAATGACATGAAACGAACTTTTGAATAAAAATTAGATTTCTGTCAAATAATATATATAAAAAAAGAAGCATAATATGTTTTAAATTCCGAGCTCTACTAATCATAATAACTACCTATACATGTACATATCTCGTTAATCGTTTATTATATGTAAGATGTAACCAAAGATGAAATGGCAACTGTATGTATAGATTATAGGTAATAGGTAAGCAAAAAAATAAGAGACGAAACAACATATTCATGTGTGAACTACTCTACCCCAAGCATGACCAATATGGGTTGAAAAACAAAGCTCCAAACCCTATCCTAGAAATACATTGCAATCATTTTTATTGACAACGGTAAAGTAGTTTTTGAGTTTAAGGAGGACGGACAAACAAACAAACATTAACTTTTATATTATATTGGAACTGGACAGTGGCGTCCGTAGGATTTTTCAATGAAAATTAGTTACAATTTTATTTTTATTTTGTCCAGTCTAAAAATTTCAGACGTTTCTTTGAGGTATTTTAAAATGTTTGTAACTTTCAACTTTTCTGGTTGAAAAAATTTTCTGATCATAAGCTTCGATGCCCAGTGTACCTATGTTTTTGAAAGCAAATTGGATCTATAGTTGATACTTTTAGGAGGTCGAAATTAAAAATTCTTAGTGTTCTTAAAAATAATTGGAGAAAAAAAAATGAAAATTTATTTAAATTGTTTGTTAACAAGTTTGTTTGCATATTTTATATTCATTCCATTAGTAAATAGTAGAGTATTTAGACTTTAGAAATTTACTTACTACTTACTAGAGCGTCTAGATCTACTGCTTGATTTATTTAAATGGTTACGACTATTTTCTACATTTGTGTTGAAATTATAAAATTAAAAATGCCTCGCCAGTGTTCAGTATTTTTATGTACCACTAAGGAACGGTCCAAT